CAAATCAATTGGTCTTTTAGGGTTAGTGTTTTTGTGTCATGTTTAAGAAATATTAGCTTTACCCACAAGTAATGAAAATAATCTTCAATTTCTTCTAAAAGTTTTATTGCTTTACCATTTTGTTTATATCTATCTATAACCCATCTCAAATTAATTTTTGTATTTGGTGAGGTTATGGATCAAGGTTTTTTGTTTTTTTTTCCAGTATGCATACCTACTTAACCAAACACCACTTACTGAAAGACCATCCTTTTCCCACTGAATTGGACTAAAACCTTTGTTGTAAATCAGATAGCCATATATGTACATATGTGTTAGTCTGTTTCTTGATTTTGTTCCATTAGTGTTTGTCTAGAATTGCCCCAATATAATACTGTCTTACTTACTGTAAGCTTCTATGAATATTAATATCTGAAATAAGTTCTTCCAGGTTTGTTTTTCTTGTTTGCCTTGACTGTTCTAGGTCTTTTGCATTTCCATACACATTTTACAATGATCTTGCCATTTTCTACTGAGGAAGAAAGAATAGACCACTGGAATTGCATTGACTCTATAGATTAATTTGAGGAAGAATTGTTAACACTGAAAATTCTTCCAATCCAAAAATGTAGTATATCTTTCCAATTGTTTATGACTTATTATCTCTCAGCATTGTAAAGATCTTATATGTTTCCTTTGATTTTGTCTTAAGTATTTGACATTTTTTGGTGCTATTATATATATTATCTTAAAATTTAATTTTCGAATTGGTTTTGCCAGTATATAGAAATTCAGTTAATTTTTGCCTACTGATTTTATATCAAGAAGCACTAATTCATATATTTATTATTTTTCTATGTAGAGAAATCTCCTATGTTTATAATGACCTTTTTTTCTTCACAGTTATCTTTTTTAGTGAATTGATATGTTTTATCCAGGTTTTGTAATTGTTCTGTTGTTTTCACTAAGAAGGTTTAATTTGACATGAACTACTCTGTCGAAACTGTCTTTGAAGCTCTCCTCTTGTCTTCTTCACTTCAGTGTTCAGTCATCTCTCTTTTTCCCTCCTTTCCCCCTTCTCATCAGTAGTCTCTCCTCATCATTAGCCTGCCTTCCTATGTGATTGTTACCATTGCCTCTCAAGCATGTGCTACTGTGTTTTTATATTTTAAGAAACATGCTCAATACTATACTCTTCCTATTACGCTTTTGCAATGGTTTTTAACTGAGGGCAGGTTTGCCTCCTAGGGGACATTTGGCAATGTCTGGAGACATTTTAATTTGTCACAACTGGGAAAGGGAGTAGTACTGGCATTTAGAAGCCAGGGATGCTGCTAAAATCTTACATAAGATAAGATAAGATAAGATACATCTTGCATAAGATAGCTGCTTACAACAAAGAAATCTGGCTCCTCCTGAGGATGGAAACTCTTACCTCTACTGTTTAGCTTGCCTTCATAGTCAGAGTTTTCCAAAGAGTTGACTGTATATGTTGTCTCCTTTTCCAAATCTCTCTTTCATACTTTTAAAAAAGTTTACATATTTTTTCAGGAATTACTCAGCTGATTTTTTTAAAGGTCAAATACTACTACAAAGCTTATAAAGAAAACAGTAATATTCTCCTAACACCCCATGTATTTAATTACATAGTATTGGCCAGTTAGATATAGATGGAATGAAAGTAGCTTTTCCTGGATAAAAAGAAAAATTAGTAGAGAGTAAACTCTTGATACTTTTTCCTTCTTCTTGCCTGTAAGTTGGATGTAGCAGTTAGTGTTGTTAGAAGATAAACCCCTTGTTTAAATTCCTGAGTTTTTAGTTTTCTCATTTTCAGAAGAATATAATACTCACTGAGATAGGCATTATCTTTTCATGACTTTCCATTTGGGAGACTTCCTTTCAGAGCCAAAGCTCCAGTGTCATACATGTCCACTTGGATATCTCACAAACATATCAGATTTAACATGATCAAAATTGGACCCTTCATTTTCTACCCCAGATGTGGGTATGAATAGAACTATGTGGATAGATCTCCATTTACCCATTTACTCAATCCAGAAACTTGAAGGTCATCCTATTCTTTCCTTTTCCTTGCCATTGAATTTGATTCCTAAGTTTCTTGAATCCATCCATTTATCTCCGTCACCACTGCCAACACTGTGGTTGGTCTAGCCTAACTGCCCGTCCAATAAACTGTAAGCTCTATAAGGGCAGGTATCATGTTCACTATTGTATTTTCACGGCGGAACACAGTATCTGGCAAGTGGTATATTGTATCACCGGAGTCCTTATGGAAAACAGTCGACACCCTCAAATTAGGATAATTCAAAGACAACTTATTTACTGAAGCTAATTACAAAGTTGTGTGCACCTTTCATCTGTATTAACAGTATCTTCTTGCTAAGTGGCATGTTTCCTCTTGTTTTATAATATGCCTTCTAATATCAGATAAACTCATTTTTATTTTAGTTTTAATATGTAATACCCATTTCACTACTTTTTAAGATTTATTCTCATAGATCACATTTTCAAAGCTAATCTTTAGGACTTACCCCCACTTTTTCTCTAATTTTATAGTTGGAGCAAAGTAGTGTTTAGACAACCTAGTTAACTTTATAGATAATATTTATTCTATGATTATTTTGTTATTCTGCTTAAGAGTCTGTTTGAATTAATAGAGCTTCAGTTATAAAGTGTTTTTACTTTAAAATAGTATTATTTATCGAATTCTAAAAATCATTCATTTTTAAAGTTCATCAGTTATCACTTTAAGCCATAGTCCTACTGATGGGAGGAGTTACTTTTCATATTACCTGAAAGATATAATGAGAATACTTTTTAATGTTACTGAGAATTTCTTTCTTCAGTGCCTGTGACATTAACATGTTTCTTCAATAACCAAGAACCTCGGTGGTCTTCTGTTCATTATTTTGAACATAGTAATCATTGTGTCATATTCAAAATGTGGAAGGTATAGGAGATTTGAGTTCAGTACTCATTCATTAAATCAGGCAGACAAGTCTTCTGTTTACTATCTTCTTTGGTAGGCTCTGAGGATTCAAGAATGAATAATGCACAGTCACTGCCTGTAGACATACAAATATAGTATGTAATAAGGGAAAAGATATAAATAATATAGTGTGGTAAGTATTTTAATCAGTGTGTGTTTAAGGTCAGTGAGTGACACAAAGCAGGAGTAATATTTCTTGGGGGATGGTGTCCGAGAAGCCTTGATAGGGGAATAGACATAGTAAATGTGAACTAGGTGAATGAACTGATAAGTAATAAAACACTAATAAAAATATAGTCCGGCACTGTGGGCTTAAAAATTCTTTTCTTTAAAGATAAGTTAGTAAGAAACTTAGACACTTGAAAATAAAACTGATGTTATGAGATTATACAGTATATGCTGATTGCCAAGTGAATGATATGGTAACTAGCATTTTTTGTGTACTCTGCTACATATACACATCTGATCATATTTAAGTAATCCTCATTAGCTCTCTGAGATAGGTATTGATATTAAGCCCATTTACAGATAAAGACACTGAAACTTGCAAAGTAACCTCCTGAAGGCCGCACAGCTAAAATGTGGTGGAGCCAGGACACAATCTCAGATCAACTTCAGAAACAATGTTCTTAACCTTGAAAAAATGAACATTGAGAACTCTAGGACTCTGGAGGAGAAAGAAATCTTGCCTGTTGGGAGCATTTGGAGAAGAGTTACAAATTAGATAGATGGTGGGTATCATGAAGAATATCTGAGGTGTGAGTGTTGGCATAAATAAGTGTTTACTGGGCAAAGTTTACTTGAAGAACAGACCATTATGATTGAGCAGTCAGTTCATGTAGGAGCATCAGGGAAGATCAGGTTGGAAGTTGAGGATGGGGTTGGGAGCCATCTGTCAAGGATCCTGAAAATGAATCTTAAGTAATCTGTGCTTGATATATAGATAGCTGTTGAAGTTATGGGAGCAGGGAAGTGATATTGGTGGGAGTCAGTGTAACATAATGGTTAAGTTCTTGACTCCATTTTCCAATTTTGTGATGTTCAACCTGTAAGTTTACTACTCTTAGACTCCTTTTCCTTATCTATGAAATGAGCGTGGTAATAATGTCTGCCTTACAGAGGTTAATTTGTAAAGCTTGATGAGTAGCAAATTTTGAGCAAATATTAATTATTATTATTATTATTATATTTTGGTAAATTTAATCTGAGAAGAGTGCATAGTAGCCTTAGGCTATTAGTTGAGAAATGTTTGAAACACAGGTGTTATAGGTAAATAGAAAGGAAAGGACAGATGCTACAACTATTTTAGATGATTATTAATCTTTTAAATTTATATAGCTTTAAAATATTTGATATGATTCTTCATACTGTTTCATAGTATTCACGTGTTTCATTACTATATCAATAGTTAAGAGCTGGCAACTGAATGTAACTATAATTTACAAAATACTTTGTATAAAATTACGTGTTATTGAATTTGATTCTCAACCATTCTTTGAGATATTTCCATTTTATTAAAACTGAGAGGTTAAGTAATTTATTGACAATCACAAGTTAATAAAAGAACCAATTTAATACTTGAATTTCCTCACACCTATTCTAGTGCTTTCTCCTTTATATCGTGATAAGAACTGATGTATAGCAGGCAACAATATGAAAAACTATTATTAGTGTTTTAAAAGAGTTAGTATCTTTTCATAGGTATCTGCCTTAATACCAGAAAATAACCAGGGCATGAAAGGGGACAGACAAGTTCAGAATCTACTAGTTATCTAACTCATATATAAACCTAGTGATGTTTGAATATATTCTCCTCAGTAGATCAAAATATTAAGTGGCTATAATTTGCTATTTAAAATATTAGCAGAAATAAAAATAAGCTCTTTTCTGCATCAGACTGTATTAGACATTTAGTACCTTCTAGGTGATTGGAAAATATTTTACAGTAGAGCTATTTCTTAAGTGTTTTAAAATAGTATTGTTCATGAAACTTTTTGAAATTTACCATCAGGCCAATGGTGGCAGAGTCTACATACAACTATGCTTCGTCGTGCTCTGGGAAAAACCTTTCGACTTGTTGGCTATACTATTCAGTATGGCTGTATAGCTCATTGTGCTTTTGAATACGTTGGTGGTGTTGTCATGGTAAGTTTTTACATTCAAGAAAATAATCACGTTAAATAGTACTTTTTTAAATTGGAGGGAAATGTGTTTTTTCTTTATAATTGAAGTATTTAATGAATGAAGTTTGACTGTTAAAATATAAAATCTTTCTAAATTTTGGGATGTAAGAGAATGTGTTTATATTGGCATTGATATAAAATATAAGAACCATTATTTTAAATGTGATTCTGTTTTGTTTCTGACAGGGGCACAAGTGGCCCTATTAATAGTTTTTTTGTTTTGTTTTGTTTTTGTTTTTTACCATTTTTTGGATGCTACTTCATGTGTTCCAGGATGTATTTGATGTTTTACACTTATTAACACATGTAATCTTTATACTCTGTGTGATGAAACAGGTTCAGAAAGCTTAAGTAATTTGCTCTAGGTCCCACAGTAAGTGGACTTGGAATTTTAACAGTTATCTCCAATTTTCAAAACTCCTACTCTTAACCATTGTGTCTGTTATTAAAACGAAAGATTATTCTGCCTTGTGTCAATACTAAAATGTTAAGGCTACCCCGTCCACCAGTGCTTTTTCTTAATATCGCATTATGAATCTGTCAACCATGACTGTACTGATCTATTGTCATGTAAACGAAATAACTGATTGAATGTCCAGTCAGTGGGTTTTGTTGTTGGTGCTGCTGTTTTTATCAGGTTTACCCTAACAGATTCATAGTCATAAAACCTCGAGTTGAGCTGGCGTAATGCAAATAAATATAGGTAACTGAAACCCCCTTCTTTGATTTTTAAAGTTTACATTAGTACTTCCATTGGGCTACAGAGTAGTAAACATAAACTTTCATTGTGTTCTTTACTATTTTCTGACTAGATAGGAAGTTTTGAGTAGAAACTTTTATTTATGTATAAGTGGACTAATGGAGACTTGTATTTAGATTTTTTAGGTGGCAATGATTGTTTATTACAGGTTGAGGTATATATGAATATTGTTTTAAGACATACCAATATGAAAGTATTAAAGTCCATCTCATAATGCCAGTACTTTTCAGTAGAAAATATAAGTTGCAGCCACATCAATAAGGAAGCTATTCTCTGGGAACAGAAGGAAAGGCATCAACTCATTGAGAATAGTATGATACCACTTAATAAATCACCATGGACACTGGATGATATTTGACAACAGTAAGAAAATAAATCTGTCATTTATTTATTCAACATATATTTATTGAGTATCAATTTCATGCCAAGCACTGTACTTAACCTTGGTTATTCAGCCGGGAACACCAGAGACAAGGTCCCTGGCCTCATGGAGCTAGGAGGATGACCATGTTGCAGGATGGCCAAAATCTAGAAACATAGATAATATTATTTTATTCATGTATTATAATGTGATATCAACAAACCATTTTTAATATATTTGCCTATATTTCCAGACTTGGTGGCCACTCTGTAGAGCTGAACTTAACCTAAGAGCTGCCAGCTTATTATGAATCATCCTCCAAGCTTGAAGAACCATTTGCTTGATTTTCTTTCTTTTAAGCCTGCTTGGATGATTGTATATTATATTAAAAAAGGTTTTTAAATCAAATTACAAAATTACCTCTCTTTTCAGTGTTCTGGACCATCAATGGAGCCTACTATTGAAAACTCGGCTGTTGTTTTTGCAGAAAATCTTAGTCGACATTTTTATAGTATCCAAAGGTAAATTTCTGTCATAGATATGTTACATTTATGGTGAAAGTGCACACACATTGTGTCTTTTCTGCAGTTTCTTCACTTTATCTTTAAAAATTCTTTTGTAAATAATAAAATTAATGTCCCACTAGATAAAATTTTCTCTCCATTTGAGAAATTTTAATAGTTTCCCTAACATGCATAGACTCTTGGGTCATTATGTCCTTTGCATAATGACCCAAAATAGATAGCTAACCCTTTTGTAATGTACATTCAAGCCTACTTTACTTTTTTTGTGGGTCGGGGAGTAGAATGTTTTGAGTCAAGAACTAGGAACTTAGGAACCATATTACATATCCAAATTATTGGTTTGATTTTAAAAATTTTAAATCTTGTATTTCTGTGTATGACTGACTGTCTCTCTACAGTCTGTGATGCACACTTGGTGATTTTTAGACTCTAGCACTTTATGTAGCTGGGAGCCAGGAATCTTATCTATTATGAGTCTCCTGGTTAATTAAGTTGAAAAACTCCTTGGAAAACATTGTTTGCCACTAAATCTTCTCAAATCTTATTTTAAATGTTGTTTCCAGTCCTGTGCTACTATTTATTCTACTAAACTTCATGAGTATTATTCCTTCTGATGGACATATTAGTAATATAATATATTTCCTCTGATTCTCTAAAATTTTGAGTCCATTAGTTTTTCATAATTCTGAAAAAATTTATACCAGTTTTCATCTCTATTAACTCCAAATTTGACCCACTTGAGCTGGGCTCCTAGAACTCTTTTGACAAAAGTAGGTTTAGGCACTTGTCTTTCATTATTGACCTTTTCTGTAGTCTGTTTCACATTCATCAGGAATAGTATAAAACTGTTCTTTGCATTTACTGATCTTTCACCATCTTAGACTCTATAGATAGAAACTATCTCTTGGTCAAACTATATGGTCTGGCATGGTCCCTAGGTAATTCTTCAGATCTTTTATCCATAATAACTTCAAGATACCTAATTAATAGATACGGAGGTTAGAAAATAAAGTTTACATGACAGGTTGTGTTCTAGCTTCCTTTTCTTTCTAACTTGCATCAAAATAACATAATGCAGTCTTTAAATTTATTGGAGATTTAGCCTCACTGTAGCATGAAGACAATCTTTTGCTTTCCATGCTAATGACATAATTTTACTCTCATAGTTCTTGAGTACTCTTAATAAGGAGCTGAACTTGTTGGCTAAATTGTTTTTGAATGAATAGCTCAATATTGTCTCCTTTTTTGATAAACTGTTTGCATTCAGATGCATAATACAAATAACCACATTCAGTAAATTAATTAAGATTCTTTGAAGGTTTCATTTTGTGTTCTATTCATTCAGGGGACCCATTAAGTTGAAAGACAGCTCAAAATGTGGCACTTTTTTGAGACATACCAAAGTGACTTTACAACTAAGATAGTCAGTTGGTAACTTCTACTTTAAAAATATTACTGTCCTAAGTATTCTTTTTCTTTTATCTGTAGCAAGAACTCAGATTTCAGGAGAAATCTCTGGCCCTCGGCAAGGGACATTCTTGCTTGCTGCCTGTTTCTAAAGCTAGAATAGCCATCCATTTTAGGACAAATGCAAGTCTGTATATATGATATCTAAAGCACATGGATCTCTTTTCAGTCAAGTGCACAGAACAGTCATACTTGAGACAATGGCAGATTCATTACTATTTATTCTTTCAACAAAGTTAGTGAGCACCTAATTTATAAGATGTGCTGTATATTATAGAGTGTTAAGATAAATGAGAATGACCTTTGGAAAAGTTTATAATCTAGTAGGTTAATATGGATGTTTATGACTACAAATGAGAAAGGAAAATTTAAGTCTTAGTTCTATTAAGTTCTTTTTAAAACCCTTTTTGAAAGAGTTGAGAGTCCAAGGGATACATAATTTTGATCTATGCTCTAATCATATGTCTCATTAAACCATCAGAAATATAGTCTACATTAATATTGTTTTCTATAAAAACACCTTGGCTGAATTATGACTTTTATGTTGCCATTCAAGTGCAGAGTTTGTTTTAAGGGTCATATGGATTATTTGTCAAGAAATTTAAGATTAATAAAATACCCACAGAAAACACTTCTTTCCACAAAGCTAGCCAAAATCAACTTGTTAGTATGTTACAATCTTTGCAAACTTGTTCTTCTGAACAGTTCCATTGACATGGTTCCAGTTTGTTGGAAGTATAATAGCTTATCCCATTTCAAAAAAAGGACAGCCTTATATTGCCTCCAAATCAGAGAATTTAGTGTTTTAATAGCCTTCAACTCTTAGCAAGAATAGCCTCAAGAAATGACTGTTCTGAATACTGTTTCTTTATTTTTTGTAAAATCTCTGATGAAGAATGGTATCTTTTATTTCCTTACATAAGTATCCTTCTTGTATATTTTTCGTTGATTTAGTTGTTCAGCAAAATTTTGTCATATCTGGCAAACTAAATTTTATTAGTTAATGATTGCCATGTAATTAATCATAATTCATTTTTTGACTTGGCTGCCAAAAGGTTTAGAACTTATTTTAATTCTTATATATAGCAATAACTAGGTTTCTGATTTAACCATCATCTTTCTTTTATATTTATGGCTTTTGATATTATTGTGGCACATACATTTTTTATTATAAGTAACATCAAACTTTTTCTGAAACTAGGTATAGATAATAAGTCAATATATTAAATCCTTTCAAATGTGTGTTAATCTATGGAATTCACTTATTCATTTTACCAGAAAGAGCATATTGTTCTATTTGGTTGAGACATTAGTCCTACATTTTTGTCTCCTTTCCACTTTTAAAGATCTTTTTTATTCTTCTAATACATATAGATTGTTACTTCCATGAAGCATGCCAATTTATTTAGTTCTTGTAGTGTATGTTTGGGCAGCTTTTAATATTTAATTTGGTAGTGTCTTCTGATATTTCTCTTCAAATATCAGTCTTTTTGACTATATTGTAAATTATCTTGGTTATACAGTTTATATGCTGTAATTCCTCAATACATTGAGCTCCAGGGAAACATAAAGGATCTTTCTACCTTTTGAGCGCTCTAGGGTCCATCAATACTGGCTGGACAATAAAATTTACTTAGTTAATTTTGTGGTATTTACATGGAATTGCTTTTCCAGAGATTTGGTTCTAAAAATTTGGACACAGAAGTAACACATAGTAGATACAGTGAAAGAATATAATTCTTACAGAATTATCAGAAATTTTAGAATCTTCTAATAGCTTTTCCATCACTCTCATCATTGGATTCTAACCCACACATGTCAGTCACAAAGGTTCTCTAAGTCGATAAATGTATAGTAAAGATAAAGGGTGTGGCTTTAAGTTGCTTTATAAAAGTATTGTAGCAATGCCATGCATGTGTTTATGCTTAATAAATAACACTAACATTTTGATTTTTTTTCCCACAGAGGTGACATTGTAATTGCAAAAAGCCCAAGTAATCCAAAATCAAATATTTGTAAAAGAGTAATTGGCTTGGAAGGAGACAAAATCCTCACCAGTGGTCCATCAGATTTCTTTAAAAACCATAGTTATGTAAGTAATATTTCAAATATATTATTCATTGGTATGATAGTTTATTAACATTAATTGAAAATACAAAAGAAAATAACTTATTTATGTTTCAAATATAAGTTAAAGTGCTGTATTCAGTAGAATTTAAGTATGTTTAAATTAAGAACCATTTGGCCGTTTTATGTTTTAGTTACTTTTAAAATTGTATATAAACATCTCAGTAATAATTGTTCCAGGCAAGATTCACCAATGGATGTCAAAATATTGGTCAAAAGTTTGAGGAAAAATAGTATATTTGCATAGTCTCAAAGTATCTCTCCCAAAAATCTCCCGATATATATATTTAAAAAAAGGAAAAATGGTAACTACATAGAAGAGGAAGCTGGCAGATACCACCCTGAGTGATCAAGGTTAACCACCAATAACAAGACATCCCAACATAACGTAGCCCCTGAACTGAAGCACTGAGAAGGACATATCACTTTTGTGATATTCTTGCAAAAGAAGATATAACATTAGTCTAAGCATGAGAAAACATCAGACAAACCGTAATTGAGGGTCATTCATGCAACGTAACTGACCAGTAATCTTCAAAATGTCAAGATCCTAAAAAAACAAGAGAAGACAGAATTGTCAGAGACTGGAAAAGACAAAGGAGACATGATAGCTGAATGCAGTTTGGGATCCTTAGAAAGTTTATCAACTGACTTATTAAAGGAAAATCTGGTCAAATCAAATAAGCTTGTCATTTAGTTTTTAAAAATCCTACTTAAATTTTTAGAATAGAAATTGTATATACCTTTGGTATAGTCAACTTGCCTATCCACTTTGAAAAAGAGCAAGAGCAGTGGAATGGGAGCATGAAGAGCAGCTGTCATGTGTTACCTCCTTTCACCAATCACAGGGTTGCTAGGTGGGGGAAGGTGGCCTTTTGTTTACACAGCCTATACTTTTCTTACTTTAATTATTATTACTTAATTTTCTACTTTTATTTAAAATGTCTATGTCACTATAAAATTATAACTGTTACATCTATTAAGTAACTTTACCTCTATCTTCATCTCCAATGTAAGCATATAATTAAGAGTTAAATTGTCTTCATCATTGTAAAGTTATTTTGAACTGTAATACCTTCTGATTGCCCTATAAGTAAATTTGGTCAATAGACTATTACAAAATCAGTATGTCATTTATTTACCATTTGTAACAGACTATAGTTCAGCTATGCAAATGTTTTTGATGTTTATTATTACAATGTTAAACATGCTAGTGATTGTTAGCTGATGGTAATAATGTTGAAGATGATAGTATGGTATCAGGAAACCTATTTTTCTATGGACTTCATCAGGGATACTATATCCTTTCATTCTTCAAAAATGTCATATTTGTACATAATAATTTCATCTTCATATGACTGTTATAATTTTATGACATTCTAGTCACTTCTGAATTGCCTTAGCATTAGTATATACTCGAGACCAGAAATAGTTTTGTCAACAGAGAGAACAGTAAAACATATAAATGATAGCATCTATACTGGTCATTATTCTTGATTTCTTTTTAAGAGTTATTAGAGGAGAAACATCAGGACAAAAGGATTTAGATAAACTGCTAAGTAATTAGAAAAGACTACCAGAGGACTGTTAGGTGTTTATTTTTTGAACATTTTATTTTAAGGAAAACATTCATCGAATTTTTATGTTTGATGAATGAATAAATTAGAGGATAATGCCATTTTGTTCTGGGTATATTCCACTCACTTTGGCTTGCATGTTCATAAGTATACAAACATAATTATAATAATGTTGGCCAACTTAATGTATTTACTCTGTACCAGACACTTTTGAAATTCTTTACAAACAAAGGTTAATTTATTCGGTCATCACAACAGCAACCCAATGATGGTAAGTAGTAAAAGTATTTGACAGATGGGAAAACTAAAAACAGGGAGGTTAAATAAATTGTACCATTTCAAACTATGAGAAAAACGGTTGGAATTTAAACACAAGTAACCTGGCTCCATCCAAAAATCTGTACTCCTCACCATGCCACTACTTCTCCCAACATATCCTCTACTTATTATTATTTCTACTCTCATATCATCAGATTGTACTTCCCTTAAAATATATTTGTCTTTATTTTTAAAAAGAAAGGGCACTGTTTCTGATCAGGGGCAGTACTGGTTGTAAAACAGAAGCTTGTGAGTTTTGAGGGCTCCTCTCCCCGCCAAGTTTTCTAGGCTGGGTTTTTCAAGCCATAAGAGTTGTGTTGCTGTTACAAAACCACTTCAGCAAATGCGTTTCATTAATCAAGGTGATTTATAACAAAAATTCTTCCAATTTTGGAACAGTCTGAAGAGATATCCAAACTGTTTTTGTAGGGTCTGCCCCTCTAGAGTGTTCCCATTTTTAGCTGTCTCAAAAGCACCCTGATGCTGTATTTTATGAAATGAGTTTCTTCCCCTTACCTATGCTTTTAGAAAAATCGTTGTTTATAAGATGAAGACATTATTGTTCAGATTTTGATTGAACTGCACAGTAAAGATGATGCATATGAAATGTGTTTTGAATTCCAGGCAAAAAACATTTATTCTCTAAATATGTGCTTCAGAAAGCAAAACACAAAAATTGTCATTTGGAACCTAGAATATAGAGTTTAGCATATGAAAGAAATAGCATTGTTCCTAAGTTGGCAAAAAACTATATAAACAGATCATTGATTAAGAGATGTGGAACCATTTTATTCATTCCAGAGTTCTAAAAGTCTATGTGGCAAGCAACACTTAGGAACTATGATTTATTTTTTACATTATGCAGTTGAAACTAAGCAGTCCCTAGCAAGGTTCTGTTGCAGTGGGTTTTGCTTATTTTATTTCGATGTTTGAGGCCAGTAATTCTCTCCTTGGGTTATGGGCTGAGCACTGGCTACTAGGATATGAGTTTAATTTGTGACTCACACAAATTGTGCTTAGCTCCAACATCTCGATTAGCTTGCCTTCCTCTACTACAGGAATTCCTCATTTTGCTACTAGAAGCCACTAATTTGCCTAAAATAATTTAGTTGGAAGTAGAAACATTTAGCACATAGGAAATACATAAAATGAACTGGCATTCTCGTATTGATTTGCACAGTAGGCAAAATGCAAAGTAAAAAAAAAATTTAATGTAGGGGATATAGGTCCAAGACTCATGAAATGTAGTAAAATTTTATTATAAAGCTAATGAAGAGTTGAACAAAAACACTTTATCTTTCTGAGGATAACATTGTTTTATAGTCCATAGCTGGGATTCTAATCCGTAGTGTAACTGTGGTACAGTTAGGCATTTTGAAATACAAGTTCCTGTCATAGACTTGCTAGAAAATCTCTGATCTAAACAAACTCCTTTTCCACATCCTCCTATAGGAAAGAGATGTACATACTTACTGACTCCACTCTGACCTTCATGTTCCCTCTTGAACTCATTCCAGTTAGGCTTTGGTCCTCATCACTTCATTGAAACAGTTCTTATCAGGAGTCCCCAGTGACTTCTTTGTTGTCGATCCAGTGATCAACTTTCAGTCTTCGTTTTACTTGATCAGTTGTTGGTATTTGAAATAGTTGTTCTTGAAACCTGATTTCCCTAGATTTTGGGACACTGCTCTCGGTCAGTTTTCTTACTATCTTTCTGCTGCTGCTGAGTTTCCTTTGTTGGTTTCTCCAAACATTGGAGTTACTAAGGGTTCATATTTTAAATTTATTCTCTTGTTTATATACACTCACACTTTATGTGACTTCATCCTGTCCCATGGTTTTAAATATTGTCTAACTTAACTCCCAAATTTATATCAACCACAACTTCTTTCCTGAACTCCAGAATCATATATCTAAAATCTGTGTAAGGTGTCCACTTTAGTATATAAAGATCACCTCAAACTAATCATGTCCAAAGTAAACTCAGCACGTCCAAAA